CCCTCCCGCAGCACACCCCGCCCGGCCCGGCTCCGCCCCGTCCAACCGGCGCCAGCGGAGGTTGAGCTCGGCGTGGCGGTAGCCTCACGCGCACTTTCTCCCCGCGTCGCCATCCTGACCTGACCGGAAGTATCGACGGCCCGCGTCAGTGGCACCGGAAGCCCTCGAGAATAACTGCTCGCGCCCCCGCCGCCACCCGTCAGGGCTGCGGCCACGGCGAGTGGTGCTACAAGCCCACACCACAGCTCCAGGATTAGAAAACAAACAGTTCGTGGGCCTCACGGAGGGATCATCCGAAAAGTACGTCCGTCATACGCCGTTTCACGTACCTGCACATAATTTCATCCCCTGCAAGCTGCTAGGCTACCTCTCAAAGCGCCTTGTGGGTAGACAACATCTTGCCTGTAGTGCACGCGTGTAATGCGGGGTGGCCTATCACGAGTCTCGCAGGCGCCAAGCTCCCGTAATTTGCCGAACGAATCTGAGAAGAATGGACGTAGTTTACATAGAGGATACCTAATCCGACCGACCACCGACCTTTCAAGTAGATTACATTTTATAATGATTTAATTGCATGGACGGGTCATGATCAGCAGCTAAATGAAATTTGTTGACTTTTTTTTTTACTCGTTCAGTAAGTCAGCATTCAACAGTCAGTCAGTCAGTCAGTCAGTCAGTCAGTCAGTCAGTCAGTCAGTCAGTCAGTCAGTCAGTCAGTCAGTCAGTCAGTCAGTCAGTCAGACGGACAGTCGGACGGACAGTCAGACAGTCACACCGACAGAGAGACAGACAGTCCAGGGCGTCCCGTGCAAATTGCTTTTTCCACGACCGATAGGCCCGAGAGAGGTCGCCACCTCGGTCGCCACGGCTGAGTGGCCTGGCCGCGCCCCGGAGGAGTGGCTGCGGGGCGGGCGGAGGTGAGGTCCTCTTCTTGATCTTGTTCTTCTCCTCTCCTCCTTCGTGTTGCAGAAGTGCGGCGCGCGGGCGATGCAGCAGGCGGTGGGATGAGGGACCGCCCGGGTCACCGCGCTCTGCGGGGATTGGATCGAGACCGCATCGAGTCCTTCAGGGACCTCAAGGACCTCAAGGAGCACTTCCCCAGGCGACTGCGCGACCCCTGGCGCGACACCAAGTTCTGTGAGTGAGCGCGCAGCGCACAGCGCGCCGCCGTCGCGACGTTTTCACACCACGAGCACTTATATATTTCATGCCCTTCTATACCATCGGACTTACCCATTCTCACAGTCTTTTGGTCACACTCTTCGGACCACAACACAGCGAACTTGTGTGGTAATGTTTCAATCTCGGTCTACATAGCACCCGTAAATAGTTGGGGTTGTTCAGTCACGAAAACAAAGACGTGCTCTAAAGATAAATAAGTATCTGAAACGTTTTGTTGCATTCACTTGTTTACGCTACACTCTCTTCGGTCGTCGTTTTCAACTGAAAGTCGTGACATTCGCAGCCCTTCTAGCCGGGGCCTCGTCGGAGCCTCCGTCACCGGACCCCGGACCTCAGGCCAGTGGCCAGGACGACCCGCCACTCACGCCGCCCGCGCCGCCGACGCACCATGCCGGCCCCTCGACGCCCACCTCCGCCGCGCCGGCGGCCGCGACCACGCCCGCCCTGAGGGACGCCCCGCAGGGTGGCGTCCTCCACGGCGGCGGCGGCCTCCAGCGGGCGGCGGCCGCCGCCACCCCGGACGACCTGATGCAGGTGCTGGAGCGGTCCTCGGGCAGCACGTCGTCGGGGACGTCCGACCTGTCGGGCCTGCTGCTGTCGCCGCGCTCCGGCCTCACGCGCCGCTCCGTGTCCGAGCGCGTCCTCATCCCGGAGGACGACGCGCACGCCGGCACGCCGTCGCCGCCCGCGCCGCCCTCCTCGGAGCGCGAGAAGCGCGCCATGCTCCGGCGCAACCTCACGCAGATCCTGAGCTGCGTCTACGCCGTGTTCATCGTCACCCTGGGCGTGGTCGTCTACATCAGCAGCCTGGTCGCCGGCAAGTCGCCCATCCTGGCCGAGGTGAGCCACCTGGAGCGGGCGGTGCGCGCTGCATCGCGGAAGCGCGAGGGGAGGAGGCGAGAGGCGCCCCTCGCGTGTAAGCGATGCCGTGCGTGAAGGCAGGCGCGCGCGCCGCGCCGCCCCGACCGGCTGCCCGCGCGGCGCACTCAAGCACGCCCGTTGTTGTGTTCGCAGGCATTTAGTCTTTACCTGGTGGGGCTCGGCCTGCTCTACCTCGTCTTCCTGTACACGGACATCCGCCGCTACCTAAACCGACTCAAGGCACGCCAGGCCTTTCTGCTCTCGCCGCCGCCCAACGGTGAGAGGAGATGTCGTCCGGCTCGGCGGCTCGGCCCGCACGACCACCTTCTCATCACGGCCCTGCGGTGCCCTGCCGGGCCCCGCCCCTTCACCCCCCTGTCCTAATGATGATGACGTAATGCTCGCAGTGACAGCCGAGAGCAAGGCGCCCCGGCCCGCCGTCCCCCCAGGCCCCGCCGGCCCGGGCTCGCAGCCCCACCGGCCTTCCCTGCCCCGGCCGCGGCCGCCCCTCAGGCCCGTGCCCCACGACTACTGCTTCAGCGACGCCAGTCACGCCGCCAGCTTCTACCTCAAGGTGCGGAGTGAAACGAGTTTATATACCGCCTTGATTAATGACAGCACATCAAAAAGCAACCGCTGTGTAGCCCAGCCCCATGACGGTGTAGTATGAAGATGGCCCGAGTTCGTCTCTTGCGTGCCTTTTTATTCCAACATGTAAGAGTTACCCTGGTGCGTTTTCTATTAAATATCCTTCTGCTACAGGTTGGCGCGGCCGGCTTTTGCTTCGGCCACCTAGTGCACTCGTCGCTTCTGTTGGCCTACCAGGCCATGTTCCTCATCCAGGACCCGGACGAGTTCTCCAAGTGCGCCTCGCCCGCCACTCTGGTCCTGGACATCCTCTACCCCGTCTACTCCTTCCTGCAGCTATTCTTCATCTTTAAATACTCCAATGTAAACGCGAGGCTGCTGATTCTCGTCGCGTCAGGTCCCATAAACCAAACATTAACGTTATCCACGCCTCATTCCCCCCCCCCCCCCCCCCCCCTGCAGGTGATCATCAACAGGTGCGAGGAGCTGGCGCGGTTCGCCCTGATGCACTGCCTGGCGTCCAGCCTGTGCTTCTGGGTGTGGACCATCCTGAGGGAGACGATGGACTCGCTGGCGCACTACGACCACCAGGACGCCCCGCACGAGCACCTGGAGCAGCCCGAGGACGTCCTCCTGGACTACGACACCGACTACCCGGCGGCGCCCCTGGCCGCGCCCCTCGGATCCACCCACGCGCCGACGGCCGGCACCGGGCCAGTGGCCATGCCCCTCACCACGTACCACAAGCGTACGCCTCGCTTTGTGACATTATTTTCCGAGCGGCCCATCTGGAAAAGTGCATTTTCTTGATGCGGATATGCGTGGGGTGTGTTTGCAGGCGGTGCTCTGGATCTGGTCAAGTTCATGAACGCCTCGTCGCTGGGCTCGTCCGAATGCCGGGCGTCCACGCAGCTGTCTACCGTGCTCGACAGCCTGTCGCCCTACCTCTACCCGTTCACCATCGAGTACAGCATCCTCGTCGGTCTGCAAACATTTAGACAGGGACTCAAAATCAGCATTAGGTCCAAACCCCAATAGTAAGACCAAACGAAACCATTTCGATTTTTGTTTTGTTTTGTTCTGCGTGCAGTTGGCGTGCTGTTCGTCATCTGGCAGAACATTGGCAACTGCAGCAACGCGGTGGAGGAGGCCGCGGAGGCCGACGGTAAGGTGAGCAGCGCGGCGAGCACGTCGAGCGCAAGCAGCACTGCTAGCAGCAGGGGCTCGACGGCGTCCCTGTGCCGCCCGCCGCCCATGTCGCCACAGAGCGGCTTCGTGAGCAACGTGGTGCTGCACGCCGACTGCCACTCGGCCAACAAGGGGCTCTTCGCCGGCCTCATCGTGCTGGTGGGGGCCGCCATCTCCATCATCCTGTTCCTCCTCGCCATGGCAGACAGGCGAGTCACAGTTACATTAGAGATTTTAATTTTCTAGATAGGCATTGGCGGGAAATTTTCCGAGATTTTCTTTTTAATTTTGAAAAGTTTTATTTTTTTTTCTATTTTGCTGGTAATATTTTATCCATTTTTTTACGGAGAAGTTTCAAATTTTTACGGAAAAATTTTGAACTGTAAAATTTCTGAACCTAATGAATATTACAATGTTACAAAATGTCAACAATGTTGCAAAAAAAAAGAACAACGCAGTTTTAATAATGACACAATCGGAAGTTTGAAATCAATAACCTCACGTATTAATTGTGGTATGGTGACAGTGAGTACATGGAGGTCGGGCTGACGGTCAACTCGGTGACGGAGCTGACGCTGCTGGCGCTCATGACGGTCGCCGTGATGGCGGCGTACTGTCGCCTCGCCAAGCTGGACGTGGTGCGCCGCTCCTCCGCCTCCGTCTCGCTGCTCGACCACCTGCTCCTCTTCCTCTGCATCCCGGCCTTCTTCCTCTACGCCATCTTCAGCATCGTGCCCGCCCTGGAGCAGCGTTCCTACTTGTCCATCACCACCATCTTGCTGCAGGTCAGTCACACTACTTCTGCATGCACGATGGTAGGTTGGATAAGGGGCCGTTCAGACAATGAGGGGGGGGGGGGATCTAAAGATAATGGAGTAGTCTCAAAAAGATCAGGACCGTCAGTAGAGTCCAAGAAGGCCCCATGACATTTCTACCTCGTGTGGGGTACGGGTACAATTATCATGGGATTCCCTCGGACTCCAGTGACAGTCGAACATGTTGGGTGTCTCATATGTCAACTTCTTTTCTCACATTTTCATCGCAGATTCCGCACGTCTGCATTTGTTGTTTTTTCGACCCAGTTTTTTTTTTCCCCCGCCCCAGGTGACCCAGGTGCTGGTGCAGACCCCCTTCATCATGGACGGCATGCGCCGCTGCAGCAACTGCGTCAAGCTGCGCCTGCAGAAGCCCGGCCGGGAGCTGGTCACGTTCCTCATCGTCTGCAACGTGGCCCTGTGGATCACGGACACGTTCGAGATCAAGTCGGTGGACGCGCGCGACCACCGTGCCGACTACTACGGCCGCGTGCTCTGGACCATGATCTCGCACGCCACCGTGCCCCTCACCATGCTCTACCGCTTCCACTCGTCGGGCTGCCTCGTGCACATCTGGAAGTCGGCCTACGAGGCGGACCGGCTGCACTAAGGCAACGTGCACTTTTTTCGAGACGAATTCTACGTGGTTGTTGTTTTTTTTCCCGATGGTATTCCGATAAATTTTGAGAGTCTCTTTGCATCTCCCTTGTAAGTGGAGGGGGACTGGCCTCGAGCGTCTAGCTGCTAGACTCTAGCACATGCGGCCAGATAAATTTTGAAGTCATGTTGAAATGGCCCCCCGTCAGTGTGACAAGCAGCACCGCTCTCAAACATAATTCATCAACTATGTATTGTTATAATTTGTTACGTTCTTGTGTAAGCGAAGACCCTTATTTGTTTCGTTGATGAGAAAAGATTTATAATTGTATGTATAACGTTGTCTGTTTTATTTATTTTTTAAGAGCGGCGTCACTCAGGTAGCCAATAAAGTATTGCATTATAGGGTTGGCAGCACCGGTCATGTCGCTTTCCGTGCGTTGTGTCATTCCATGTGTTCCTTGTTCCTATTTCATTGTGTCCGTTATGTTTTGTTTTATTTTGGAGATTTTTTCTGTCAGTGTGTAGTGAATAAACACAAGTAAATTTTATAAAAACTTAAAGATACTTTGCCGTGGTTTCAAAAGTAACTGAACTCTTCGTTGGTGCCACTAAGTCCGCGTCGGGTTGAGGTTATTGGACGTCCGAAGAGTACCCGTAACGTGTCGTGGAGAGAAGGGCAACAGCAGGCGCGCTGTTACATACTCATTCAATGGACAGCTCTGGAAATAGGTGAGTGGTGTACTGTTTATAGTCCGGCCAGCCAAAGGTGACGTTTTGACGGTTTTTGTGACACGCTTCGACCGTTACGACGCTTGCGGGGAGTGGGCCGGGATGCGAGTTAGGTTCGGGTTTCGTTTCCCTCCCAGGTAGTAGAGCAGCATAAAATGTGCATTTTGTGTTCAATCTTTAAAGCGTCTAAAACGCGTGTAGGCGTCTAATGTGCGCGTACATGCGCCTAAAATGCGCGTTTCAGCTGGGGCATAAAATGCGGTTCGAATGCAGTTTCCTCACTGTAAGAATAGCTGTACTGCCCTGTCCTTTTTTAATGTCCGGTGTGAACAAAATAATATTTTGGAAAAAAAATAACAGCAAAGGGGCAGCTATGCCTTTATGATTATAATCAAAAGGACGATCAAAAAACACCCCAAAGCCTGGAAACTTCTACGACTAATTTAATAATACGAAAGAGCCCCTGGTCAGCACCTCACTTCTGGGGCTGTCGGTCACAAATCCCCAAACAGCCTTACCTCCCCTCTCTTCTCTGCCGCACCGGTCCCAAAGTCTCTCCCGACAAACTGATCCCCTTTGCAGCCTCATCCCCGGCTTAGACTCGCCCGCCTATAACTGAGCAGCAACTGTTCCGCTAATTTCACCGCGTGAGCCTACAACTTTGAGGAAGCCCCGTACATGAGAGACATTGCCGGGGGTGGTGGTGGAGGGGCGCCTCGTCAACCCTAGGAGACGGCACCCTGGTCGGGGTAGAGCGGAGGGCGGAGGGCTCCGCGG